GGCAGGCAGGCAGGCAGTCTGAGCGCTGGCTGGTCGAGGGGGTGGCTTTCGGATAAGCAGCCGCAGGCGGTGGGTCGCGCTGGTTGGGCCTGGGAAGCACCCGTCACGTGTAGCACCCATCAGTTAGCACCCGTGGAGCGTGCTGCATAGCGGAGGGGAGGCAGGGCTCGGCTTCTAATCACAGTTGGACCATTGAGAGAAGGTAAACAGTGAGTTGAGAAAATGCCGGTGGGGCGGGCGCAGGCCGGGCCCAGGGGCCTCCAGGCCACCCTCCCAAGGGCGGTGGTCCCGGAGGCCAGGGGTCGGCCTGGCAGGCCCCAGAGCGGCGGTCTCTGGAATGCTCGAGGGCCCACGCCTGCGCCCAGACCAGGTGGCTCACCTTTGGGCCTAGAGATTTGGGGTCTGTGATAATCAGGGGTAACTGAGCAGTGGGGCCCCCAAAGCCGAGATGGAGCTGGCTCCCCCCAGCAGGGGCAGAGCTGCCTGGGCCGGTGAGACAGAGCTAGTGGTCGTGGAGGCTGGTCGCACGGTCACTCCCTAGAATCAGAGCACACAGAGCTTGGGTCGGGAAGCAGCGTGCAACGGTAAGGCACAGGTACAGTATGCCACCACCTCTACGCAAAGATGTCACTTCCGGAGGTCGGAACAGAACGCAGCAGTATGACAGAATGGAGGGACACCTGCCGTGGCCACCTTCAGCACACGTCACCCGCCCACCCGGCGCTGGACGCCAGGGTCGGCGCTGTCGGCGATCGAGACCGTCGGAACTCGTGGGCACAATTTAAAGCCTGCAGGACTTTGTTCAGAACTCCGAAGTTCAACTAATGCCCTATTTTAGGGTGAAAACAATTATAAATCTGAAATGATGCACAGCATCCATGAGCAATTTCCTTTCGTAATAATTTGAAGTAGTGTCATTGACTACGACAGATATTGAAGGTTTACATTTCTAACGAGAAATAACACAGATTGAATATTCTCTTTCCTATCACAAGTGATAACCAGTGTTGGATAGTTTACATTTTCTTCCAAGAAATATAAGTCTATCAACGTTTTAAAATAAAATGTCTGCAGTAACCATTATCTTAGAACTTTAAATTAAAAAATGATTCTGAATTTAGAGACTTCCAGAAAAGACCGAGGTGACTTCAGGGTCTTCTGACAAACAAATTATTAAAACAGAGACCAGGTGAGGCCTTAAAAATAGACAATATGCTGTATTTGAAACAAGATTGCACTCTTGAGCTTTAGAACGAATATATCAGAACTGCATTATTATTTCATAAACTCTTCTTTACTTAACATGCTGACATGTCCAGCTAGCCCAGGCGTGTGTGCATGTGGTGGGTGTGTCTTTTGTGTGTTCAAGTTTCAGGAAGAAAACTCATGGTTCTTTTTGGAGCCTATGTGTCTTCCACCTTCATGAATGAGACCTTTAAAAATGGAAATGAACCTTCTCCGACAGCAGTGTTCCTCGCCGCAGGATAAAGAATTCTTCAGTGAAGTGTTGCTAGTCTATAGAAAGCGTCCCCCGGCTGGCTCCTCCCGCCGGCCCGCGGCCGCCTCCTGCACTTCCTGCTCCACAAGGTCCTTACTGAGCGTGAGGACCCCGGTGGAGACAGCAATTCCAACCCCCGAGGAGTTGCCTTCTGCTCAATCCGCCCCCTGTGGCTGTCAGGGGTCAGGCAGGTCCGAAGTATCCACTATGACTTTAATAAAAATGGTGTCATCTTTGATGTACGTCCCGTTCTCCAGCACAGTCTGTGCCACGAACACTGGGCAGCCGGAGGCGATGTTCATCTCCCCGCTGGGCTTCTTGAAGCTGCTGCTGTTGGGGTCCGGCTTGAACGCGTCCCCCAAGTGGCGCCGCGAGGAACCCTGGTCCATGAGCATGAGCGTCACCTTCTGCTTGAAGGGCCAGGGAAGCAGAGCGTCGTACTCTCCGCGCATGATGACAAAGAAGAGTGACAGGTGCGTGCCCTTGCCCATGCCGTCCCCGTTCAGGTAGACCCGGGCGCACATCTTGTAGCCGAAGTAGCCGGTGTAGAAGGGCTGGCTGTACAGGGACAGCGTCTTCCCCATGACGGCCTCCTGCTTCCGCCGCTTGTAGTCACGGATCTTCCAGATGAGCACACCGTTGTAGCTGGCAGTCTCCAGCACCTGGAAGCGCAGGTCCATGTCGGCCAGGCGGATGTCATGGACGCTCAGCATCTGGTCGTGCCGGCTCAGCTGGGACTCCAGCAGGCCTGGCGGGCGAACAGAGTGGACAGGGGGTGAGGGTGTCAGCGGGGTCAGAAAGGGAGAGGCCGGCTCTCACCAGTGCCTGCACTAAACACTGAGAAACCACCGAGGGTCCTGGCGGTGGAGGACAAACGCCACGCAGCTGACCTGACACAGGGGCCCACACACCCAGGGTGACAGTTGCTGAGATGCACCAGCCTGGGGTCCCTGGGCACCTCTGCAGCATCCACAACAGGGAGCCGCTGGGGGCGGGGAGGGCGCCCCTGTCCTTCCAGCCCAAGGCTCGGGGTCGTCTGTGCCCCGAGTTCCAGTGGCTCCTCTCCCACCTCATGTCCTCGTGCAGCTTAGTCCAACCCCACATGTTTCTCTCACCACCAGTCTTTTCACGCAAACACTCTGAACATTCATTCAGCCCCGAGTCACAGGCCCAGAACCGCCAGCTGACACACATGGGCCTCGCCTGCCCGTCACCTCCTGCTCCTGGGCGTCATGAGCACCTGCCTGGCAGGCTCTGCCCTCCACCTGCATCCCCTCACTGGCCTCGAACGGAGGGGACAAGTCTGTGGGACCCATTTCTTTCAGCCAAAGACACCTCAGCAGGAGGCCTGCCGCCTGGGCACACGCTGCACCTGTAACGGACGTCCTGGGCCCCACGTGCCGAGGGGACCGCCTACCCCTCAAGTTTGAGCCGCAACCCGTACCTGGGGTCGCAGGAGTCTGCGAAGTGTGCCCCGTCCCAGTCCCTCTCAGACATGTCACTGCCCTGCCCGCCCGCGCTCACCTGTGTTGCGGGCCGCCTGCCCTGAGCTTTTGTCCACACTCTCCAGCTCGGTCACCCGGTTCTGCAGGGACTCCACACTGCTCTTCATGCTGTCTGCTTCCTCCCAGTTCTGCCGGAAGGGGCGGATCTCCTTGTCGAGCTCTTTCAGTTTCTCTGCTTGGCTGTCGATTACTCGCTTCCAAACCAAAGGCATCAAAAAGACAAACACAGTTAGCACTCTCTGGAAACACCCGTGCCACCACTGGAAGAGGCTGGGTAGGAGCGGAGCGGCCAGCTCAGGGCCAGGGCAGCCCCGAACCTGCCCCTGCACACGGGCCTCTCGTGAATCTCAGGAGACATGAGGGATGAGGGTCCACGTTCCCAGAGGGGACCAAGCTCAGCACAGGTCTCACCCGCCGATGGCAGGGAAGGCAGCCCACGTCCCTCTGTCCTGGGGAGTCTCAGGTTCATGATGCTCAAGTGACACCACTGGCCCTGTTGGAAGGCCTGTCCTGAAAGGCTCTCCAGCCATCAGCAGGGGCCAATGTGGCCTCCTCCCTGGCTGCCTGGGCCCAGGGCTGAGGGAACAGAGCCCTGGCGGGGGTGGGGTGGGGGGGTGAGGGGATTGCTTCCGCCCCTGCTCCCTGCTCCACATCCCACGTCCTCCAGGCCACAGAACACCACACTGCTGGCCCACACGTGCTATTGACAGCGAGGCCTGGCTTTACGCTATTTTAACTTTTAAACATATTTTTATTGATTTCAGAGAGGAAGGGAGAAAGAGAATCATTTATTGGCTGCCTCCTACACACCCCACACTGGGGATCAAGCCCACACCTCGGGCATGTGCCCTGACTGGGAACTGAACTGTGACCTCCTGGTCCATAGGTCAATGCTCAACTGCTGAGCCACGTGGGCCGGGCTCTGCTATTTTAATTTAGATAATTCAGAAAACCTTTCCTCCCAGAAACACACAAACCATTTACATCTCTAGAGGGGCTGGAGGAACGAGACCTGCACTCCAGCTAAAGGACTGGCATGCCCACTGCCCAGACCAGGCCAGGACCTAGAGTTTTCACTTCTAAAAAGAATTTGCATTTGTGACATACAGCTCCTGGAGGCTGGGCAATGCGCCCCTATTAAACTGGGGGGCGGGGAGGGGCCAAATTCACTTCCCCTTTTGAAAGCCTATTTTTAAACACATAAGTTTCAGCACCTTTGGGGGATGTTACTAACCACGAAGGAACAAACATGGCTTACTTTTTTGGGGCAAAAACAGTGTTACTCTTCCTCTTCTTTCCAAGAAAGCCTGGCATGGGCTCGTGTTTAAAAAGGAAAGATGATTCCTCCTCCTATGCGGGGGCTTTTTACTCTAAGGCGGGGGCTGTGGGCATTTCCTTGGCCCCCGAGTCTGCTTTCGGGGCACGGCTCTTCACACTAGCGAGCACCACACGCAAGGTGCCTGTAGCAGGGTATGCACTCGCCCTGTGAGGTGACAGGCGGGGCTCCCAGGGACTGTAAAGGAGACCCGCAGCGACCGGCCGGTCGTGAGTGATGCTGAGGGAGCCGGGAGCCTGGCCCAAGACACGCCCCGCATGCATGTCTCATGGAGCCTCCTGCCCTCCCCACCCCACAGGGAGGAGCCTGGGACAGCGGCCTGTGGGCATGTGGTCACCTCAAGGACAGAACTGTGGTGTCTGAACCATGAGCTCCCGTACGGACAGCAAGGCCCGGCTCCGGAACGCGGGCACGCTCACGGGCACATGGGCACAGACAAGGCTCAACCCAGTTCTGTAGGAGGGGCTCCACACAGCGAGGGAAATGGCCCTTTCAAATGACCGTCACCCGTACGAACAGCACTGCTTGAAGCAGAGGCCGGTCCAGGCCGAGCGTTCGCTGAAAAGCCAGCACAGGGGGCTTCATTCCTGAGGAGCAGGCTCCACCTGGCAGCTGCAGTTTCCATGAGAATAGATCTCAAGCGCAGGCGTAGGGCTTTCAGGAAAAACGCATTCAGGAGCCGAGATAAACTGTGGCCGCACACCACGTGGCAACCCGAGCTCGGGGCCTGCCTGCAGTGCACCAGCTCCTTTCTGTCACCCACACACGCCTGTCCCAGACCCGCCACTGCCAGAGCCCTGGGTCCTCCCAGACCCTCCTGACAACGCGACCTGGGCCTTACAGTATACCCAGGCTGCCTTTCTAATTAAGGAAAAGGTTCTTTAAAACGTCCAATATTAAGCTGACACACTCTTCACTTCCACCCGAGTCGTCTGTCTGCATCCCTGTCCGTGGGAACCCTCTGCTCAGATGCGCTGCCGCTGCGTCCGGGACTTTAGGGCCCACTGGAGGGTCAGAGCACTGGGTGGGTCCCGATGCACGGGGCTGTGGGACAGCGAGAGGGTGGGGTCCACCAGGCTTCCTGGAGGAGGTGGCACTGACACCTGAGGTGTCTGAGGAGGAGCCAGAGCCAGGAAAGGTGGGTGGGGAGAAGACCCATTTCTCTGCACTGTGGACACACAGGTGACAGAGTGGCCGGGCAGCTGGGGCGGGGGTGGGGGGGGGGGTCTGAGCCGAGGAAGGAAGTAACGGCAGGTGCGTATCTGCGCTGGCTCGGCTGGGGGGGGCCTGCAGGGACGGCAGAGGAAGCGCGGGGCTGGCACACACATCTGGCGCACAGCCATGGGGCTCAGAAGACCCGCGTCTACTGAGACGGACGGATTTTCTCTCCTCCAGCCACGCGTTGGAACCTCCCAGCGGGGTCAGCGATCAACTGCACTCCACTCCTGGCTGGATTCCACGTGAGCCTGCGGGGAGCCGAGATCAAGCCGGCTGGAGCCCCCGTTTAAATACAGCCTGTCCCCAGGTCCTCTCTCTGGAGAAGGACACCAGCGAGCGGAGCCCCGCCTCCTCGTTAGTGCGCGGCGGGCGCTGTGCGCTTCACCTCACCATCCCGCAACCTGGCTTCCGCCTTCCTTAGATCTCATGGGTTTATTCAATCACAGAAGCTTTAAAATGTAACTCACATGCAGTGGAATGACTAAGCTCTACAGAAAAGGACATTAAATTCCAACTTTTCTCACCGAAAGAGGAAGTGAATGCAGAGAGAATCCGGAGGTTTCCAATGAGGGCGTCTATGACCTCATCATCAGATTCCAACGTCTCGGTTACACTTGAACCCACGACCTATCCATGCTTTCTTATGCTGTTGATATTTTTAACAGGTGCAACTTCCTCAGCCTTTCCATGCGCCCCTGAGCCCCAGGTCAAACAGAGCAGGTTCACTACAAATGGCTCGTCCTGCGCCCCAGGCAGGTGAGGGCCCTGGTCAGGTGTATCAATGGTTAGAGCACTGGCCTGTGCACAGGAGGGTCTTGGGTTAGATACCCGGGTCAAGGGTATGTACCTGGCTTGCAGGTTCGATCCCCAGCCCAGGTCAGGGCACATGCGGGAGACAACCAATTAATGTGTTTCTCTCACGTCGATGTTTCTATCTCTCTCTTCCCACCTACCACCCCCCCCTCTAAAAATATCCTCGGGTGAAGATTAAAAAACAACAATAACACAAAAAACACCACCAGGGACTTCCCGCAGGAGGCTTGCTGGTGGTTTACGATGCTGTACTTTTTGGCTATTCAGCGCTAACGACCTGTACCTTTCCTAACACAACCTAGCTTTTCAGTGTTTTTCCTCATCCCTGGACAGGCACGAAGTCCAGACCATGAAGCTCTTAACGAGTCCCTGTGCAGCGCCTGAGGGCGGGCTGACCAGCCTCCAGGGCTGAAGCGGGTGGAGAGGCCGGGCTGAGCTCGAGGGCCTCTCTCCCAGGGGAGGCCGAGCCCGGAGGAGCCATCTGGCCGGCACTGGGGTGTCTGACGCACGCACAGCACGAGCAAGCGCTGTGCAGACAGCAGCCGCCAGGACACACTGACACGGGCCTCGCAGACCGAGCTGGCAGCAGGTGGGACCATCCTTCTCTCCAGGCCCAGCCACGCCGGCCTCTGCCCGGGCAGCGAGGGCCAGTGCTGCTGCTCTGCACCCACGGGGACTCGGGTGAGGGAGCCCGAGAATCGCCGGGAAATTTGGAACCAGAGAGTTTGCCTTCACTTCTGTGGGAAGTGAAACCTTACACATAACCACCGATGAACACGAAATCCTCAAAAATAAAAGGGCTAATGTTTAAATCACGGGCTGTGAGTCTTGCTGCACCCACAGCGGGTCAAAGGCAGAGAGAGGGGAGGAGGCAGGGGCCCTGTCCTGGGACCGCCCCACCCTCCATCCAGCCAGGCGATGCCTCTTACCTGTAAGTGCAGTATTTTGGATTCATTATTTCGCAGCATTTCCTTTTGTCTCTCAATTTCAATCTCAAAGCTGCATATCTGGTTGTGCAAGCTTTGTATGCTCTTGTTTTTCTCCACACTTTCATTCTGCAGCAAGGAAACCTGAAAAAGGAATGCTGCCATTAAGCGAACAAAATGCGGTTTAATATTAACGAGTAACCATTCGGCTTTCGGAAGGCAGGCCTGAGCTCCCGGGGAGGCTTCCGGGAGACACCCCTTCACCCCGGACCGCGCAGGGCGATGGGCTCGTGAATTTCAGGATGAGCGGGACGCTCTCTAAAGGTTTTGCTGGAAATTAATGAGCCTCTCGCCGGAGAGGCTTTCAGACTCGGGCCCGGAAACGCACTCACATGGCCCCCTCGCCCTGCGTGTGCGCCTGAAAAGCAGGCAACACAGGCGGCGCTGGTCCTCACACGGGTTCCCTCTCACTCCGTTCGCTGTAAATAACGTGGTCACAACCCGCTGCGTTACCTCGCA